AATTATTTATTTAAACAATTTCTCTGTCCCTATCTTTGTTTCTTTTCCTTCTTGGACTCCCATAATGTGAAATTACCTTGCTTAAAGGTGTCATAGGTCTTGTGGCCTGACTTCTTCTTCTTCTTTTTATTTTTTCTCTGACTAGGCGAGTTCAAAAACTCTTCTTCAGGTTGAGAGATTCTTTCTTCTGCTCTATCTGGTCTGCTGTTGAAGCGCTTTATTGTATTTTTATTTCATTCATTGAATTCTTTAGCTCCAAGATCTGTGTTGTTTATTTTTTTAATATTTATCTCTTTATTAAATTTCTCAATTAGATTGAGACCAGCAGATGGGATAATGATTATGTCGCTGGTACTCCCACATAGTTGAATGTGATTTGAGTCCCAGATCTGTGGCTTAGGCTCATGTGCATACATTCCCCAAATCCCAAGAGGAGAATAGAGGAGAAGGGATTGTGGCATGGCCATCCCCAGCATGGAGGTGATTTCTCACTTTCTGTTTCTCTGTCTCTCCAGCAAGCACACAAGCCCTTTAGGAAAACAAAAACAAAAAAAAAAAAAACACATGAATAAAACACTCTCTGAAAATAAATAAATAAATAAATAAATAAATAAATAAATAATTTCTCAATTAGATCATAGATTGTTTCTCTGGTCCTATTGAATTATTTCTCTGGTCTTATTGAATTGTCTGTATTTCCTTGTGTCTTGCTGAATTTTGTTAAGATAGTTTTTTTTTTTTTTTTAATGCTTTCTCAGGCAATACATAAATTTCTATTTCTTTGGAGTCAGTTCCCAGAGTTATTGTGCTCCTTGGTTGGTATCATGTTTCCTTGCTTTTTCATGTATCTGTTTACCTGTATTGATTTCTGTTCATCTGGGTAAACAATTACCTCTTCCAAACTTTTATGGAGTGCTTTCACAGGAAAAGACTGTCAACTGAGAATAGATCTTATTTTTCCAGTTGGGAGGGATGTTGTGGCTCTGATTTCTATTAAATGCAGTAGAATAGCCTCTATTTAGCTTTTTCAGGCTTCAGGGGATAAGGCACTTCATAGTAGTGGTTCTGAATCTTTGGATGAAGGGAGATGGAAGTACTACATAGTTGGTGAGGTCAAGTGTAGCAATAGCAAAGACCCCAAAATGGTGGATTGCAACTGTCACTTGGGCCCTAGGGTACAGGGAGAAACACCAGAATGACTCTTTTTCTTGAAGAGGTTGGTATCTCAGCAGCTCAGTCTCTAGGGAGTCAGACCAGTTCCAGGGAGGCAGAGTACGGGAGTTGTTTGGCTTATAGTATTGAGTGTCTCTGCTCAGCCAGTGCTGTTTCAATGGGATGTGGGGTGCCATATTTGCTCAGCTGTAGTGTGTAGCTGTTTTGTTTGGCCAAGGCACTGATTCCCTGGGAACTGATGTATCTGGGTGCTGTGATTGTTTTGGACAGGCAACACACTGTTAATCTAAGAGTGCACAACTTCAGCTCAGGTCTGGAGAGGCCATACGAGGCAGTGACTGAGAGTAGGTAGACTAGTTCTACCATGGCATCATTTCACTAAGGTGTCATGTGTAGCATCAGTTCAAGCTCCAGTGGACGTGGCACGACAGTGGTTGGGAGGTGTAAGTGAAGCAGCTTCATCACGACACCATTTCCTGGCAAGGGAGAACACAACTTCAGCTCAGGTCCCAAGCAGGCAGGGTACAACAGCAACTAGGGAAAGGTAGGTGGGATGGCTCAACTGAAGTACCTTTTCCTTGTGGGGTAGCATGCTATTTTAACTCAGGGCAGTGGGCAGCAGCAATGGTGAGGGGTATCTGAAGTGGCTCCAGCAAACCACTATTTCCCTAGGAGGGAGTGTGCAGTTTTAGCCTAGGCCCAGAAGGACAGGGTGTAGCAGTAACTAGAGGGATAAATGGAGTACCTCAGTGGCAGCTTGGTCCCACAGGGTAAGGTATAACTGCAGCTCAGCTAGAGGATGGCAGGCAATGATACTTGAGCTGTGGAATGGCAGCTAATCTTCAGGGACGGAAGGGTTCCAGGACCCTTTGTTCCCAGAGCAGGACACAATACAGCAATGGTTCTTGTTGCAAGATAGACACAGCAGTTGCATGGGCCACAGGAGGTGGAGCACAGTGTCACCTTCTTTGGAGAAACTCAGCTATATGGACCTCAGACAGCTCTCCCCATTAAGCTCAGTATCTGTCTGTAAGGACCATGGTGATCCCTAGTTGTGAGAACTGTAGATGTCCAAAGTAGTGGTTGCTGGTGTCTTGCTTACTTTTTCTCCCATAAGGTGGAGTTCTCCTTGCTTCTGAACTGGTCCTAACTGGGTTATAGGATGCCTGCATCGAAAGGGTTGCCTTCTGTTATCTTTCTGTCCATCTTAGGTTTCTGCATTCTAGAGGGTTTCTGTTAAGTACTTTAATGTATACCAGTGCTCTTGTTTTTTTGTTTGTTTGTTTTTGTTTTATCAAAATATGATTGTTTATTTCTTATTCAGCTATCTTTGTGTA